CTTGAATAATAACCGTGAAAAACCTTCTGCTACCTAAAAATTTGCAGATTAATAAAGAACCGCTCGTAACAGTATTAAATTTTAGTTTAAAATTATTTAACAGAATTTAAATATTTTATATATAGTGTGTGATACCTAATTACATCAAGGTATTATTAGGGCGCTAAAATTTTTGCCTGTAGTATAACATTAAATTAGCCAATCAAATATAATAAAATCATGATTTGTATAACCTACTCATGAAATAGAAGATTATCCGTTAGTATATATAATGATAATATCATAGTCATAATCGCTATATAGTATAACAATTGACCTTTGTCATTATACTATATTCCTTGTATTTTGTGGTAGTGATACTTTTGAGGTAACGCCTTGAGGTAGTACTTCATGCGGTATTTGGTACTTCATGAGGTACTTCAGTCTTAATCTGTGGTGTGAATTTGGATTTTTGTAGTAGTGCTTCATCTTCGTGGTTTCATCCTCGTGGTATTGTATTTCTTCATCCTGTAATAGTTCCTCATCTCTGTGGTAGTTCCTCGTCCCTGTAGTAGTTCTTCGTCTCTGTGGTAGTTCCTTGTCCCTGTGGCAGTTCCTTGTTTCGTGATAGTTCTTCGTCCCCGTAGTAGTTTCTTGTCCCCGTAGTAGTTCTTCGTAGTGCTTCGTCCTCATAGTAGTAATTTGTTCTTGTCATAGTGTTTCGACTTCATCCTTGAGTAGTAATAAATTAAGGTCAGTATAAATATTATTTATTAATGTTATAAAAGCAATGAAGAATTAAAGAAAATTCATTATAGAAATTAAATTAATATTAATTAATACGTAGATGAGACCATCCAAGCAAGTTAAATCTTTAAAGCTTGCTAGAGAAAAAAAAAGACAAAAAACAAATAAAATTGAAATTGGTATGAAACATAATTAACATCAAAGAAATACAATATACAATAAAAGTGGGAAGTGAATATCTATTAATTCAGCAATTAGAATTTAAAGATTTTGTACTTTAAAAGTACAAGATCTTTAAATTCTGATTGTTGAATCATAGATATTCACTTCTCACTTTTGCTATAATAATTACATAATTCTTATATAAAATTTTGATTTTTTTTTATAATATGTATATAAAAAGTGAGATCGAATCTTCCAGCAGTGAAAGTGAGATCAAATCTTCTAGCAGTAAAAGTGATTAGGATAATGAAGGATTTGAACTTGAATTAAATAATGCCTATAATAGAATGGTTAATGCAGCTTCTAAACAAAATGCATTTAAAGTATTAAAGAATAGATTTTATCATGAAAATGCCAAATCTACTATATGAAATAAAAGGCGAGGCTGGAAATTAGCAGCACTTGGCTCCAAAAAAATTACCAATTATTTTAGTTTATATAGTAATAATAACGATAGTAATAATAATGATAGTTATGATAGTAGCAATGATGATGCAAGTACTATATATATATGATATAATAATATTATACTATAGAGTTATTATTAGGTTTTTTAGTCTTATTTTTTTCAAAAAAAATAAGACCAAAAGATCTGATTATAACTCAAAATAGAGTTATAGTTGGGTCTTTTAGTCTTATTTTTTTGAAAAAAAAATAAGACAAAAAGACTCAATTATAGTTTTTTTAACTTATTTTTTTTAAACTTATTGTTAAAT